ATTGTGATCTGATAAATTTGTGAAATGGCCACAACGGAAAGCATCGATTACATTTACCACTTGCCCTTCTTTGAACAAACAGAATTTTGCAAAATTATGAACCAAAATGATAAGTGGGAGGAGCTGGCTGGTATGTCATCAGGAAATCCCCGTGTACCCTTGATAAATATACCCTTGTCACACACTAACCTATTTGTTCATTACTAATTTATTCACTTCAATCATCTGCTTTATGATTTTACATTAGATATTGTATTTATCTTATCCCGGGAATTTTCATCTTACGACACTTGTTACACAATGTTACATTACCGCACTGTTTTGACTCGTGTATGGAATTGGCTATTTGTCGCACAGATGGCGCGCGCGTAATGGGCCACTTTCCACGCACGTGTGATATAAAAAATATTACGAAGTTAGTCGAGAAAAGTAAAGCATGATAAAAATATTTTACTTTTTGTACCAAATATGTGGCAATTTATACGTTGTTAGTAGTCCATTATTATAAGTCCATTTATTTGAATGTTCTAAGTGAATAAAAATATAATGAGATGAGTGTATAGTGTTTTGACCTTTTATAAAATTTTATAAAATTAAAATGTCATTATATAACACCGACTAACATATAACATATGATATACATATATAATATAGAAATATAATTGTTTTATAACAACAATATATTTACAATATGTTATCCACTATATGTATGTATATATGTATATAAAATCCACTTTATCACAATATGCTTATCATTATATGTGCAAATAAAATAAGTAATTCGTCTTAAAAATATATATGTAATAATTATGAATTTCATAATTCATATTTGTTCAATATTTGAAATACAAGTTCCATTTCGGGTCGCTTTTGCGCCGACCCGTTAGAACACCCTTTTCCTATGGATATTAAATTACTATAAACCTGTTTGTTCTCTTCACCACCTTTCTTGTCCATCAATAAAGAAATGTCTTTGTCTTTCCAAGCTTCAATTAAATCTCCTAACAATTTCTTTTCGGGCCGTGAATCGTCATAAGCTCGAAGACCAGTTGCCATTTCGAATAAGACTATGCCGTAACTATAAGTATCTATTTTTGTGGACAATTTTTTGTCACGTAAAAATTCTTCTGGCAGGTAGGGTCTAGTTCCATGAATTCTGCTGATCTAATAATTATTAATAATTACTGTCAACAATTTTTCATAACAATTGCCCATTGTAATACCATAATAGTTATTTGTGTAACAAGTGAGGTAAGATGAAAATTCCCGGGTGCGGAATTTACGCACGAGCCGAAGGCGAGTGCGGTAACCGCACCCGGGAATTTTCATCTTTACACACGGCTTACACTCCCTATTTTATGTTGCAAGTGCCTGGAAAGTGGTCTATCACGCACGCGTAGCGTGCGTAATGGGGCACTTTCCATGCACGTGTTGCATAAAATGTATTTTCACACACACATTTAATATTTTAGTCTTTTAAAATAATCATAAAATATAAGAAAAAATCTTGTAATTTTCTAGCAACTTGATGAGTATAAAAAAATCATTCACGTTAAATTTTTATTTATCTTCTACTTACTTACTAATAATTACTTACCTTCATACTGTCTCTTTCAGGACCTTCCCGCGCCAAGCCAAAATCACCAATCCTGGGCTCGAAATTTTTATCCAACAAAATATTTGCGCTTTTAATATCAGCATGGATCAATGGTTTTTTCCCGATGGTGTGCACGTATTGCAATCCGCGTGCTATACCTTTAGCAATTTCATGTCTTTGCATCCACGTTAACGGTTTAGTCTTTTGTCTTAATAGCAACCTATCTTCCAAAGACCCGTTCTTCATCAGCTGATAAACCAAGCACGGTGCTTCGCCACCGAGACTGTATGCATATAAAGGCAAGATATTTTCATGGGTACAAGAATTCAAAATCTTAATTTCTTTCAATGATTGCTGCAGCTGCAATATGTAACTTTCATCCGAAGCGGATCCCTTTTGTCGGATTTTTTTTATTGCAACATCAGTATTTTTCCAGATGCCTGTAACGTATATAAATGTGACTTAATAAATCAAGAATCTTTTAAATCAGATGTTCTTAATTTGATATTCTATTTTTGACAATCTACATGTCAATAAATGAAATAATATACCTCTGTATACTGTTCCAAAACCACCTCTTCCCAATATGTTGTGCTGATTCCATCCATCTGTGGCAATAGCTAGTTCACTGTAACTTGCGTGTGGCAAAGTAGTTTCTGTTCTTGGCAGTGGCGATTCGTTAATCTTTTTCTCATTATTGCCAATATTCTGCGGCGAGAAAACAGCAGCATCTTCTGGTGAAGCTACTAACAAATTATTGGAGTTGCTCGGGCTAAGTCCCCATCTACAATAGGTGCTTTAAGCCCTAGTCTTTGTTTTAGAGAGAAATTACATAGGTTCTAAGCCTCAAGCCCTAAGCTTTTAAAGATGGAAATTGGCCAACTCGCTTCGGGCTTAGAGCTGCGCAAGGAACGTTCAAGGCCGGAAATATGTCACAGTTTAGAACATAAAACATAAGGCTTAGAGCTTAAAACACCTATTGTAGATGGGCACTATATCCAATTGCGCCGTTGGTTGATTTAAAATTTTATTAACACTTTGCTGTGGCAATACGCGTTGATTAAAATTCTGTGTGCCAATCTTCAAATCTTTAGTGTTCTTGTTGACTAACTGCTTACACGGCATGTTCTGCAAATTGCCTTCCCCGTTGTACAAAAGCCGATGAAATTTCTGATCAACCAAAGGTAATAATAGTACCATTGACTGATAGTGTTGCATTTTTGTTAATAACACAAACAGTTCTGCTGTTGTGTGATTATGAAGGCCCCACAGTGCCAAGAGCTCAAGTGTGGGATTTTCCTCCTTTCTTAAACTTTGTATCGTTAAGACATTATATTCCATCCAGCCTGCCAATGTTACATTAATATAAAAAAATGTAATTACAGATAATACATAACATTTAACACATATAAATAGTTATTGCATATCCAATTTAAAACAATTGCTTGCTATTGTTAAGCAAAAGTGGTGCAACATTAAAAGATAAATACAATATCTAATGTAAAATCATAAAGCAGATGATTGAAGTGAATAAATTAGTAATGAACAAATAGGTTAGTGTGTGACAAGGGTATATTTATCAAGGGTACACGGGGATTTCCTGATGACATACCAGCCAGCTCCTCCCACTTATCATTTTGGTTCATAATTTTGCAAAATTCTGTTTGTTCAAAGAAGGGCAAGTGGTAAATGTATTCGATGCTTTCCGTTGTGGCCATTTCACAAATTTATCAGATCACAAT